GAAATTTACAAAGATCGGATGTCTTTAAAAACAAACATGAAGAGACAAAGCCTAGAAAAGAAACAGGCCCAGACAAAGGAACGTGAAGAGGAAAGGCGGAAAAGGTGAGAAACTTGGAGAAGAAGAAGGCTAGACGAAACTCGTTCCTTTCAAAGAAGGCAACTGTAAAGTGTGGAGCACTTCAAGAGACAGAAAGGTCGACATAGGAGAATATTGTGAGCGAAAAACTGCATAAAGGTTTCAATGAAAAGGGGAACGTCTCGATCAACGCGGCAACCTTCAAAGATGCAACTTTCGGCTTACAATCGTTCAAAGTTTTCTTATCAGAAGGAATCAACCGCCTATAAGAGGGACAGATGGGACATTGTCGGGCCAAAAAGCGTCCTAGATAGAGTGCAGTAAAGGCTCAAAAACTGGTCCCGACGCCCATTACCGATCAAAACTCCCAAGAAAGAATGTGTTTAGCAGCCTTGTAGGGGCTATTATCATTCAATGGAGCGTGTTTGTTGTAAAAGTGGTTGGCTGAAAGATGCTAACAGCTAAAACACGTTACCATGCCGCGACTGAAATCTCGTCCCAACACCCTAACGTACTCATGATCTTGTCTATGCCTTACTTAGATGTGTTTGGCCCTGAGAAAATGCCTTACATCCCGGAAATTTATCTAATTTTCCTTGTACCGGATTCTCGCAGTCTGGGCATTCAGCCTGTACAGACAGAACAAGTTGTTAGGGACATTCAAAGCACTGTGAAAAGGACAGTGCTACCAAATTTTCCGATACATTTCCGATACACACAAATGCAGAGGAATCCGGTATTGTAAGCTCGACAAGAAAGGATGAAAAGAGACGCAGCAGTACATGCCAAGTGATCGTAACTGGTAGACCCGTCATTTCATACGATTTTGTACCGAACGTTCGTTCTATAGATGTATATCACGAATGGATCCCTGCGCTCGTAGTAGTAGTGTAGGAGTCTCTCCAAAAGGACAAGCGGCAACTTTACTGCGCTGCCTGAAGAAGTAGATGATGGATCGACTGACAGGGTTGTACAGACGACATAACAACGCCATAATGAACACCACCATATCTCGATAAAGTCCAAAGTCCTTGGGTAGTAATCAGTCTCGTCCGAGGGATGCGTCCCCACATTCGACTTGCATTCGGAATCGTAGTGGCACATCGAACGCGTACGTTGCCTATACAATGATTTGCGATGGCCGTATGTACAAGTCAGCGCTTTTATCCTACTACACGGGTCTGATACAAATTAACCAACCGTGGAGGGACGGAAGGCTTGGTCGGTGCGGGCAGATACCTGTCCGGGTCTTGAATCCGTGAATAAAGGTGTATGATTGTGCGCCATTTGGCACTGCACCACCATCATCTCAAAAAATCTCGATAATCGTACTAGTTCTTGATACCTTCTCATGAAAAAGCCTATAGATAGATTGTTCCCAAGCAGCACAGTATGCCAGCAGATAGCTCTCATCATCATCATAACTTAAAAACCAAAATTAAAATCGAAAAGGAAGAACGGTAAAAGTTGAGGAAAAGATCTCTTGAGCGATAAAGAAGCGACAGCCCGCGGCAGTCGACAGCCAGGGAAAACGGCAGGAAGTCTAGGTGATGTGAAACGAGATGAACAGGTTTCTGCGTCTTCGGATCGATCACCGGTAGGCGGTGAAAATGTAAAGATGTATTTCGAAGTGCAAAACTGTGATTAATGTGAATATTACAAAAATATATCAGCAATGGTGCATTGCAGTTACGTCGACAGTCCTCATATTTGAACGACCACGTGTGGGAGACATCTGAAGGTTTGTTCAGCACATCCACAGCCATCCGATTGCTTTCGATTTTTACGATCCTTGAATATAAAAGTGCACTTACTACCCGACATCCGACCCATTTTTCGACGCTGTTCCATCCCGTCATAAAAAACGCCCACGCATTCGACTGCCGTTCAGGATGGCAGTGGCGCCCGAATGAGACCTATTTGGTCTATAGTTTGAATTACAGGGACTCATCTATGCTTGAATCAATTGTCTTATTCACCCAGACGGGTCTTGCTCCAATGAGGAAAGGCCAAGTTATGGAACGATACGGATACTTTTTGGGGCATGGAAGGCCCAATTGGTGTGGGCAAGTGTCGACCCATGATCTCATCTACGAACTAATGACGGCGCCGTTGAAGTTTTACCAGTTTCTCTTGGTAGTATAGGGAATCTACGTCTAATCAGTAGGGTAAAAGTTAGAGCAGGAAAGCTAGAGGTCCAAAGACGATCAAGCGCACTGAGACGCGCCGTGCATTTGACTCTGATTAGGATTCGCGAAATGTACGATGCTCAGAACCTTGTCGCGCTCTCATTCTGAAGACGTGCGTTCATACTTTTTTCATGGTTCTCCTGCTTCCGCAGAGGCCTATCATCATCAATGTGTCTCGCTGTGATAGGATGTTTGATGGCTCAGGCGCGATGCGATCCGACAAACCGCGCTACAGAGATACCCCACGTATTAGGCACCAGGGTAAACTAGTTTACTTGCGCTACAGAGATACCCCACGTATTAGGCACCAGGGTAAACTAGTTTACTTCCGCTCGTTCCTAACCGTTTTAAGGCCAACAGTCGAGAAAGATCAAAACAGGATCGGGCGACTAATACCGCAACCAAACGCCCTAACTCCTAACGTGGGTGATCCTAACTACTCGATAGAACCTGCGACGTCACAGCAGTTGAAAAGAAATAAAGTATAGGAGGATAAAAAGATTTATTGGCGTTAATTAATACCTCTCTGGCATGCATTCACGTATTAGATGTGTGCATCAATTTCCGCCGCCGAATTCCAACGGCCCTTGCCGAACATGTTAGAGGTTTAGCGGTGACACCTATCATATTCTGTAAGATAGGGTATTGGCTACCTACTTGAGGGCAGACAGATCAGTTTTTCCCCAAAATCAATTTGCTCT